AAAAAAAAAAAAAAGGCGGTGGGAGGAGGCCACGTTTCTAGATCGCATCCATGTCTGCAATCTGCCCGCAACCGCCCGGTTCTGGAGCGATACATCTAGCTCATTAGGCCCTTTTATGCGCTACAATTAGCGCGAGCCACAACATATATAAGCCCGACAACGCGGACCAGTCCCTGGTTGTGTGGAGGCAAGGATTTCGGTGAAAACCTTTGAAAGGCCTGGAACTAGCAAAAGGGCCTGAATCCTATTTCCACCACCCCTCCCACACACACTTTGGCCTTCAGACTCAGAAACCTTTTGTTGTTGTTGTTATTGTGGCTTTCTTCCCACATGTGACATTAAAGAGGAGGCAGCGATTGTTAAAAATAATGTTTGATTAACCCCTTTCCGGGAGATAACACAGCTTCGCCGAGGTGCAGGGGCAGCCCCGGAGTAGGAAGGTTGGAGGGTATGTGTATGTGTGCGGGGGGGGGGGGTCTGGGATCAATAGGGAAGATTTTGGCTTGATTAGTCGGAGAAAGGCAGCTAATGAAGCAAAACCAAAGATCGGTATCACCGCAGCTCCCCCAAAAGTTTATTTTTCTTGAAATTTCCGCAGAGAGGCGGGCGCCTCCTTTGAAGTGTAAATGGTTCTAGGTGGGGGGGAGGAGGAAGAGGTTGGGTTAGGGGAAAGGGGGGAGACCCTCTTTGAAATAAAAAGAAGGAAAAAAGAGACAGAAAGGCTCTCATTTAAAGTCGGACGGGAAAAAGCGACCAAGCCTGACCGACTGGGTTTGGGGGAGTTGCACCGAAAAGACGCGCAGGAGCTCCAGGCTGCCCCGAGCCCTGTCTCGCCCTGGCCCGCAGGCACAAGCGCCTGTGTGCTGGGGGAGGGGGTCCCAAAGCCCCTCGTGGGTTTTTTTTTTCTCCCCCTTGGGCACAGAAATTGGTCTGTGGATTTGACTGTTGACAAAGCAATTCTTCCTGGGAGGCGAGGGGGCACCAGGTGATCCCGTGGTGCGTGTGGATGGGGAAGAGGGGGAGATAGAGAGCTCTTCTGGAGCTTTGCCCCCCTTCTCCTTCTTGGGGAGACACCAAATTCCCTCGTGTCCACATGAGAAAATTGCCCCGATTTACCTACATCAGAAGCTGATTTCGTTCAACCCCGCAACACCCCTGCGCGGCCACCCTTCTAGATCGCTTCCAGGTTCCTCGTTTCATTCGGATTTGATTTTGCCGTCTGCTCTTTTATTTTTCCTGCTGGGGCAAGAGCGGGGTAGGGGACTAGAGGGTCATAGGGCCGAGCGGTAACAACCAGGCAAGCTCAGGGAGAAATGTATCTTCTGCCTCTCCTCTCTGCGCCTCGTCAAAGTTGTTGTCTCTTTAACATACAGTCAACAGTTTTAAAGCCCCGGAGCATCTTTGTCAAGACAAAGTGAATCCTCCCCGCGGTAAAGCCTGCGCGGGGGAGCAGGACAGTGAGGAAGTTCCCGGGGAGTGGACCTGCAGGGGGGGAGTGGTTAGAGACTGATATGATATTGCAGAATTAGTCTTTCCTCCTCGAGGCTCGGGTCTGGGACTGTCCCAGGGCAGTGTCATTGTGGCCACAGGTTTGTCCCGTGTTGGAGCTGATCCCGGGGGGTGGGGGAGGACCGCTGGAGCAGACTGGACGCCACCGGCTTTTCTCTCTCCGAGAAGGGCTGTGTTAGTAGCCCGCAGCCCCCGGTGGGAGAGAAGGGGTTAAAGGCAGGACAATGAGCGGTTTCGTACCAAATCCAAGTTGCTGCCGCGGGAGAGAAGCGCCTGCATGTGCGGGAGCCGCCCGGGGCCTCTCGGCCGGTGCCGGCAGGTGCGTGTCCGCCGGGTCCCAGGCGCTGGCCGCGGCCAGTGGGTGGCGGCGGATGAAGCTCAAACCCGCTTCGCCCGAAACTTTCCCCCGCGCTGGAAGTTGCGCCGTGTCAGCCGGGATCCGCGCGCAAACCAAACCGCAGAGCGCCATCTACAGGCCGCGCCCGGGAAGGGCGCTTCCCGGCCTCGCCGCGCCCTCCCCCGGCTCGCTCCCCAGCCCGGCCGGCTTCACCTGCCCGAGCGGCCCGAGCGCCTGCGGGGGGGGAGGGGGGCTTCCCCTTTGATCCGCTGCTTCAGCCGCCTGGCAGGGGAAGAGCAGCCTTGGAAGTAGGAGGAGAAGGGAAAAGGGCAGCAGGGTCAAGAGGCGGCGTGGGCTGGGGAGTGCGTGGCGCTGAGGTTACAGTGGGACGCGGTGACTTGCAGAAAGGCCGGTGTAAACACGCGGGCTGTGAAGTGCGGAGGAGGGGGGAGCTACAGGCCAAAGGGGCAGCAGAAAGCCAGGCAGGTACCTCTCGCCTTAAAAGGAGGCGCGGGCGGTCTGTAGAGCCCTGCTGCACTGACAAAATACGGCAGAGCTTCCAGCATCGCGCTCAGGGGACCTCCAAACTTTGTGTCTGGTGGAAATATGCCCCATGGCTGTCTCCAAAACCCCAGGCAGACGGGCACACTTGTACTAATAATATGAATAGGAATAATAACAGTAGCAGTAGTAGTAGCAGCAGACTGCTAGTCAGAAAGACAAACACCCCAGATCACCATTAAAAAGCAAAAGAAAAATGAACTCGAACAGCCAAGGTTCAGGCGGTGTTGTCTGGATACCTGAGCTGCAATTGCATTACTTAAGCTTTTTCAGATGTAGCCTCTAGAAACGTGGATTGCTGCCTTTCTCTGCGTGTAACCATATATAGTGTCAAAAAGATTTTTTTAATCACCCTTTCCAAGCACAGAGGAAAGAGAGGCAGAGGGAGGGAGGGGGAGAAAGAGAGAGAGAGAGAGATAAAACATCAGCTGAAGTGCCAAAATGATTTATGAGATGGTGGAAAATATTTCATAAAGATCTCTCGGAGATTCTTTACTTAACCAGTTAGAAAACAAAGGGGCTGTTTTGTGACAGATAAGCAGAGAGGTGGGAGAGGATGAACCGAGAAAGGAAGAGAAGAAAAGAATAATATTTCACACGATGATAAACTCATAAGGAAACAAAAATTGAGCTCACAGCAAATTGTCACCTCTTCGTACGGGTATGCCTACCCGCAGGTAGGCGCTTCTCTCCTGTGTTTCTGTTGCCTTTTTAGGTCAAAGCCACGTCTTTCCGTGTTAGCCCTGTTTCTGAAATACTTCCTAAATCCCGTCCCTGTAGCAAAACAAAACAAGTGCGCGTAGGGGAAAGAATCGGGTTATTTTATCTCCCTTTATGTTGACACACGCGCGCCAGACCAGCTCCCTGCGATTGCCATGTGTCCGCCCCAGTCGCCCGCTTCAAAGCGACTCGCGAAGGTGTCTATCGGCCCCCGCCCCTTGTTGCCCCCTTCCCTCTATTTTAGAAATGAAGCCCCAAGAAAGCTTTGGTGTGTTTCCAGTCCCCACGCCTTTAGCGCGACAGATCCCCTGGATCCTGGCGGTGGAAAAAGCCCTCTCCTCACCAAGGGACACGGGGGCTGGTGGTCCGAAAAGCCAAATGAAACTAGCACCAAGTCCGGGGTGTGTGTACGTGTGTGTGTGCGTGTGTTAAATAAGATCCCCAACAGCAAGTGAAAACGAAGCGGGGGGGAGGGGGGTATCAGTCTATTTCTTTGGGCGAAGCCAAGGCTCCTGTCTCCCCTGAATATTCATGATCCCCTCCTTATCTCGAGTTTATCTTATCTGCTAGTTTCGTTTTTTCTCTGTAGTTTTAATCCCAAACTCTCTCCTCCCCCCTCCCCCTGC